CCCCCGGGGGTGCTGGGGCAGGGCAAGCCTAGGGAGCAGTACCAGGACAAGGAACAGTGCAGTGAGCTCTCGGCATAGCGTCCTCTGTGGCCCAGGGCCCCCGTTCCTCCTGTGCTGTTGTAACTCCTGCCTCTGTGCCAATGGCTTCCAGAACGCAGAGGAAAACTCTCGCATCTCAATCACCTTCTTCCGACTCTTCCGCGTGATGCGTCTCGTGAAGCTCCTGAGCCGAGGGGAGGGCATCCGGACGCTGCTTTGGACCTTCATCAAGTCCTTCCAGGTATTCCTTCACTTATCTTTAAGTAAGACCTAACAGGGTTTTTTTTATCCCCTTGGTGGTCCCTCGGGGAGGGGTGTCACCCAAGTGCCTGAGCTCAAAGGCTGCTGGTCAGAGCTGTGCGCACCAGTGACACGTGGCACGGATGAGACTCAAGTAAATGGGGCTCGCAAGGGATGACTGCCTGGGTATGGCTATCGTCTTTAAAGAATGAGTAATTGCTTGAGACCTTTCTGGACAGCCTTGATAGTTCAGGCCAATCACTGCCTGTCTGTATGTAACCCCTCAATCTCCTCTTTTTTTTTTTTTTTTTTTTCCCTATTTTAGCTGTATTTTATATCTGTTGCTTTAAGTGAAACACACAGCTATGGGGAAGGCCTGGGTCTCAAGTTTCCCTTAAGCCTTGTTTTGAGGATTTCCAGTGAGCATTACAGGTGTGTGGCCCCCGTGCTTTCATCCAGGAAGAATTCACCTTTTTGGTGCTGCACCTTTGGCCCTGGTAACGATGCCAAGTTATTAAATTGCTGCTGCTTTTTCCCTGGAGGCAGGTTGCATTTCAGTGGTAGGTAAAGCACCAGACTAGATAGGAGAAGGTGAAGGAGACCAGACTGGATAAGAATCATCACCTCTGGGGGAAAACAAACACCAGGAGATAGCTATTTGCTAGAAAAGTTGCTTCCAAACCAGCCCCTAACCTAGCCATGTATAGAAAAATGGTAGTTAGACATGAAGCATAGCATAGTTCTGCATTTTACAAGTACTTGACCTGGATTTACTGGGCCAGCACAACCTGTCTGTTAGCTGGGGCAGGTCCAGAGGAAATGTCAGGGAAAGACAGCACAGGAATACAAATGGTGGTCTAAACATAAGAAAAGATGCAGGACGCACCACTGGACAAAAGCATGAAAGAGTAACTTGTGCAACACACAAGTCTTGAAACAGCAACCATATATCCCTCAGACTGAGGCTTTAAATGGTCAATAGCATTTGTATTGACTCAAATGGGAAAGGACCTGATCCACGCTTTAAAACTTAAACCTCGCCAGCTACGACACAAGCTGGGACCAAAGCCTGCAGTGCTGTGGATCACCACGACTTCTGTCTCTGTCAGCAGAAGTAGCACATGTGTACGCCAGGGATCAGTCTGGACCTTTTCCAGTGCAGCTTTCAGGTGGTCTCGGTAGCCAGACCACCAGGCTCATGCAGAGGACTCTCATTTTGCACACTCCTTGACTGCCAGAAGATCTAATATTGCACAGCAGTTTTCTGACACATCCGTACCACAAGCGACTTTTTCCATTGCTTACATGGTTGCTAACTTCCAGGTTGTTATTTGAGCTGCTCCAGTGGGAACCATTTTGTCTGCATGCATAGGAATGAGATTCCCTTGGCACAGCTCAGCCATCTCTGATGCAGGGGACAGAGTCACACTTTCCAGTTCCTGCTTCTCCTCCCCTTGCTCCTGTGCCCCTCCAGCCTCTTTAGCAATAGCTCGCTCTTATTCTGAGCTCAGCTTTCCACGGTTCTTGGGCGGAGAGGATGAGATGGGTGGGAAAGGGAGTACCTGGTACTTCCCTCCAGTGACCTTCAGACCCATTTGATTGGAGAGTCACTTTTAGGCAGGGTTGTAGCGTGATGGGAGAAAGTATCAAGGGAGGTATCTTCCACAGCAGGGGGTGGGGGGGACAAAAAAAGCACTGCAAGCAAGTGCCTTTTCCCTTGAAAGCCATCAGCCATTTATAACACAGTATTCTCTGCTCAGAGCTCGTCCTCTTGCAACTACTGGGAGGCTCCTTTGGTAGCTAAGAATAGCCCCTGTGCAGAGCTTTTAACTCAGCCACTCCCACTGTCAAAATCTGGGATCCCTGCAGACTTTTGTCTGGCATGGGCTCTTCTCTGTGTCCCCACATGCTTCCAGGAAGTGTGTCTGCTCACACAGGGCAGCCTAATAAGCAAGGAACTTGTGCTGGAGTTCAGAGCCCATCGCAACTACCATGTGCCCTGTGCATGTGGCGCACGGTGCTTACGTACAAATTGGGGCACCAGTCAGAGGAGCGTGTGGTGGGAAAATGCTCAGCGGGGTTTCCGCCTGCAGAGATAGGAACAGAGCCCGGGCTGGCGAGTGGGAGGAGTAGGAAGTCAGAGGGGTGCTGAGGGCAAGGCAAGGCCGTGGGAATCACAAGGACAAAGCGGTAAGGCCAGGGAAGGACAGAGCCAGAGGAGGACAGAGCCAGAAGAGTGGAATATGGGAGGTGGGGAGCTGAAGGAGCCATGGGGAATAAGGGGCAGAGATGAGTAGGAAGGTGCATCAGTGGAGAGGAGTGGGCTGAGCAGAAGAATGTGGAAAGAAAGTGGAGGGCCAGATGGCCAGGAGAGAAGACACTTTTCCCATCCACATTTGAAAGATAGAAGAACTGGTAAGGTTATGCACCTCAGGTCCTGTCTGGACACTATCCCAGGAGCTCTTCTTAGGTCTTGTGTGTATCAAGTCCCAACTAGATCATCACAAAATGTTTGGAGTCCAATTCTAAGCTGGTGCATCTCCACTGACATTGTGGGGTAACCATACAGATTTGTCTGACCCCATAAAACACAGAGGAATGGCCACCGAGCCTCAAGATGATGATTACAGACATTGTTTAAAGGTTTCCATTTTTGCCATTTTAACATTCACATCTCTTTGAGATGACTTCTGCAGATCTTAGTCAAATCCCCATAGTGGTCAGTGAAAATTTCTCCTCAATTCTTCCTGTAGGATTTAGCCCTGTTGAATTTAGGCATAAACTTAAAATGTGTAAATAATCTTATATTAAAAAAAAAAAATGTTGTAGACTTTTTATACTCTGTGAAATGGGGTGTTCAAAATCTAGATCAGGGACTGTACTCACATTTTCAGGATGAATGTGTCTACCCATTGCCTCTGAAGTAAGTTCTGGAAATCTCTGGTCTGAGCACTATATATTTCAAAAGCAACAGAGTAGAAAATTCCTCCTCAAAAGCCTGAGCCTGTGAGGTCCCGAGCTGTGCCCTTGATTCCTGCTAGTGGCAGAGGAAACTGATAGCACTCGACACTTTGCTGATTGCACTGGCCTCTTCCTTGCGAGGCAGCTCTGCATATCAGGACTCTGCATTTCCTCTTCAGCAGCTGATCACAGGCACTTAGTGCATTGCAGACACCATCACAGACACCTAACACTGAACAGGGAACAAAGCTGATGCTGCTTTAGGTACGTAGGATGGTACCAGCCATTGTAGTAGAAGCCTTGAATTTAGATCTTGGCAGCTGTTGCGGTCTTGATTTCACCAGACTGGATCCGGAAAAAATCACGTTGCCATTAGCGCCGGAATAATACTGGTTATGAGAGTTTTCTCCCCTTGATAAGCAGCTGTACGCACTGTTTTTGCCCTCACTTTCCTCACTCCGCCAAGGGCAGGACTGACTTGAAGGCGGGAGAGCTACACCATCACGAGTGGGAGCGGCGTCGGAGCCTGCCTGACCTGGGCGGCAGCAGGGTGGTGGTGGGGAGGGCAAGCAAATGTGGGCCTGTAGAGGCATCTAGTGGCCACCTGGCCAAATTGCAGGCTCCACGCTTGGGGCCAGCCTCTGCCCAGTTTGCCAAAGCCAGGAGCATGAACCAGGCTCCAGTGTGCCGGGCTCGGTGCAGACATAGTGCTCTCTCTTTTTTTTTTTCTTTTTTTTTTTTTTTTTCTCATTTCTAGGCTCTCCCCTATGTGGCTCTTTTAATAGTGATGTTGTTCTTCATCTACGCCGTGATCGGGATGCAGGTAAGTGATGCTAAAGAGCTCAACTGTGTCTGTCTTCTCCTGTTAGAGTTTTGGGAACTGACTTATAAAGTAACTAGATCAATGTGTGGTTGTAGGGGCTTACAAGAATGTTTTTGCCCAGTAAGGTAAGACGGCAGCTAACCTTGGTTGGAAAACATTGTCTGCCTATGCGCTTCCAACAGGAGCACAACGCACTTCAGAAAAAAGGCAAAACCCGACTCATTTAATGGCAGAATTCAATATGCAAATAGTAAAAGGACCATGCCTGCCCTCCACACTCTCAAAGTAATACCCAGCAGCAGTGGCAAAGGAGATTTACTGCCTCGCTCGTTGCTTCAGAATAGTTGTTTCAGTGGGCTTATGGCTGTGCTGCACTGAACAAACCCAATTTTTCTCTCCACATCACCTTCACACCAGCGTAACTTCCACTGAGTTGTAAAGAGCAGCTTTTGATTTACACCCATGAGGGTAAATATGGGATCAAACCCAACGTACTGATGCTCTGTGTTTGTGCCAGTTCTTCAGGAAGCTGCATCAATACAATATCCTATTCAGTTTGCAAATTGAACTTGGAACCGGCCTGAGCATTCACCTGTGCAAGGAGCTGATGTTGCATACAGACCATTGAAGAAAACATGTGATATGGGCACAGTCTGTGACAGTCCTAGCCTCATTTGCTGCACTGCTTTTCAAACTAAGCTTCAGTTTCCACTTCGGTGTTAATCAAAGATCTCGGACAAGTCAGCCGTCTGGGACCAGAGGCCAAAGTATAGAAAAGCATGCCATAATTGCTTCCAGAGCTCTTCAAACATGGCAGGCTTCTTGGTTTCACAATGCCAACAGAACTTGTAACAAAATTCATCTGATCTCTGTGACCTTGCTTTGTTTCCTGTTATTATAATCACATCTTTTCACAGACTCCATCTACCCTCCCCCAGTTTGAAAAATAAAACTAATCTTTTCTTGAATTACCATTGGTTATCTCAAGTGCCCCCAGTAATTACAGCTGTCATTTAGTCTACTAGGCTCATACTGTAAACTTGCCAGTTTTGCCTTTAATACCTAACTAGCTCAAATGCTCAAGATCTTAGAGGATTACCTGTGCTATACAGAAGATCACTTGATAGTATTACACTAGTGTTATGTAGCTACACAAAGCATTAAAAATGGCTTTCAAGCACCCACACAGATGGTGTCTACAATGATCAGGGCACTGCCAGGGCTAGATATTTTATTCTGTAATTCTATTCCCTTTTCTGTCAGCTAGTTCTAAGTTGGCTATTTAATCCTTGGCTTATGTTCAAGCCTCTGTTTTAATCATCTCAGCAGCCTGAAGATCATGCATCTGTCTTTCATATTGATCTAGATTACTAGATCACTTCCTGCCCTCCTGTCTTCCAATGAGAAAACCAACTTTTCTCATCTTCCCTCTTTGCTTAGAGCCCACAGACCTGTTATCATCACTTTTTGTCCAGATGGCATCTCAGACATTTTGTGTGCTGCTCTCTTGAGCCTGCTGACACGTAGAGTTCCTTCACACATAGGGACATGTAGGAAGGAAAATCCTTCCTCGCTCCATTAAGCAGCTACCTTGAAATACTAGATGTACCAGATCTGATGAAAATATAAGAATTTCCCACATAAAGGAGACCTACCACTTTATCTCAGCTACTGCCCTGACTTGGAGTGTAACAACATTCAAGCCTTGCTACCTGATGTGCCCAAGTGGAAAAATCCAAATTGATGCTCATGGGTGAAGCCACTCCATAGCATGGCCCAGCAGGCACAGACTGGAGAGGCCATGAGAGAGGAACCTCTACCTGCAGCTCCTTGTAGGTGCCTAATGCAAAGCACCTGTAGTAGCTGCCGCCAGTGCATCGTGTGTGAGGGAAGCTGCGGGGGTCAAAAGGAAAATCAGACTTCCAGCATGGGAAGTTCTCTTGCCTACGCTTTCCTGAAATGAAAAATATGGGCTGCCTCAGCTCAAACTGCCTCTGAGCATTTAATCTGTCCTCCTGCTCCTCCTCGGTGCCTCTGGGGCTGTCACTGCTACCCATGGCGTGGGGGTGGTTGGGGTTGGAGAAGACCCACACATCCATGAGTAACCCCTGCAGAAAGCCTGCCATGTACAGACCCTCCCGTCTGGCATGGCCTCCCCACCATCGTCCCTGGGCTTCTCTCCACATCATTGTTTCTTTTGGGGTGTTAATTATCAGTGACATTTGCTTGAAAAGAAGCTCTGTGTTCTCTCAGAGCTGCTCTGTTCCTGCTGCTCATTTTGGCTGCAAGATTACAGCTCTTGGTCCTTGATATCTGTGTCACGTTGCTATCGACGGGGAATAAATAGTCCTGACTGACTGTGCACAGACCTTTCTGCCAGGCAAGGTTTGTTAAGCTCTCAGTCCCGGTGCCTGAAAGTACCAAAGCTCTTCCAAAGAAGCCTGAAACTCTCCTGCACTGGGGACTTCACATCCGAGAGCAGGCCCCTAAAAAGATTTGCTGATGGTTGCAGGCTTCATGCTGTGGCTGCATGAACTAGTTGGTGCAGCAACAGTTGGTTGGGCATGGAAGGAAGCTGTAAGCCATCCTTGTCTGGGCAAGTCTAGTCATCATCTTCACTCTGCTGCATTCTGGAGGGGCCTGAAACACCTGCTAGTGACAAGCATGGCTACTAGAAGGGCAAGCATTTGGACAATCTCCAGATCCAAGGCAACATACTTTCCATTGTTTTGGGAAGATTCAAGGCACCCCACAGAGCTGGAAGCTCAAGGCTTTGCAGCTGCTGGTCTTTTGCTATCATTTCCTCCTGGTGAAGACAGATAAGCAACAAAGGACAGAGTCTTTTCTTCTGTGTTATTGATTTCTTTCAGCTGGACCCCCTCCCCATATAAGCGCCTGTTAAAATAAGGCCCCATATCACATATTCACAGTGTATGAAATAAGGAAGGATGTCTTGTTTTAACAAAAGATGCCTCTTGTTACAAAATAAGTGCTTTTCTGGTGATAAAGCACAAGCAAGGGAGGCAACAGCAAATATGAAAGACCTGTGGAAATGATTTTTTAAAAGAGCAGATTCTGTTAAATATCAGAGTCAGGGTGAAGCCAAGAGCTACAGATGACAAGAGGTTTGGGGATTTTGCAGGGCTAACCTGAAAAGACCTCTGCTCTCTGCCAGGTGTTTGGTAAAATTGCGCTGAACGATACCACAGAAATCAACCGCAACAACAACTTCCAGACCTTCCCCCAGGCAGTGCTGCTGCTCTTCAGGTGGGTGTCTGACAGCTCTGGATTGTGTCAGTCTGGGAGCACGATTCTTCTGCTCTTGGGCACAGCTTATCTCCTTCTACCATGTCACGCTCACGAGGTGAGTAGAAACATGTTGTCCCTTAGCGGGGGAGCCTAGGAGTTAATGTCAGATGAAACAACCAGTCCATTAAGCCATTAAGCCGACACTGGCCAACGCTTAGTGCTGGGGAGGGAGGCAGGTCCTCCTACTCAGAAGGAAGGTAGCCAGTTTTCAGTGCTCTCAAATGTTGATATGCATCACAAACTCCTCCTTTCATTCAAATCGAGCCAGTATGACTTTCAGCTTATTTTAGCAGGGAAGGGGACATGAGCTGCACTCATGCTTTGGCATGGCCATGCCCAGCTCACCTTAGCACATCACCCTGCTCCAGCTGTGGCCAGGTGTGCCGGGGCCAGGGAAGGGTGCTGAAGGGGTGGGGAGCTGGCACAAATTCAACACTCTCTCCTCGTTTTCAAGGAGTTTTTTCATGCAATCCATAGCCATGTCACACACGTTTTGATGACTCTGGCTGGTTGGAGCATGACAGCCCTGTACCCAGACTAGGCAAAGCCAGTCAGGAACAGCACGCTGATGATGGCAACAAAGCCAAAAAGAGGAGCAGGGTATGGCAGTGTATGTCAAAGCCCGACCATCAGCCTAACTTGCTCTTAATTGACCTGAGTGGCAAAATTGCCATTAATATTCATGGGAGCAGGAACAAGTTGCTAATGTGCCAGTCTCTCTCACATCCAAGGTCACTGCTGTCTTCCCTTGCCCTTTGCCATGCCCAGGTGTGCCACTGGTGAGGCCTGGCAGGAAATCATGCTGGCATGTCTCCCAGACAAGAAGTGTGACCCAGAGTCGGAGCCGGCCAACTCCACCGAAGCCGATCACTCCTGTGGCAGCAGCTTCGCCGTCTTCTATTTCATCAGCTTCTACATGCTCTGTGCCTTCCTGGTGAGTCCGCCCCAGTGATTGAAACCTGCCCTCTGTCAGACTGAGCCCCTGCCTCCCCAGGTGTCAGCACTGCACAGCAGAAGAATGGTCTCAGGGGAAGTCTCCCCATGGTGTCTTTCCTAGCAGCACCCTTTCAGTGACAACACCCCCTTGGTCACTGCCATTCCTGCCTCCCTCCAGCTCTGAAGGATGCTCTGCTTCCAATCCCAACCCTTTGTGCACAGCAAAGGAGTGCTCTTCCCCCCTCCCCCTCAATGAGAAAACCAAATTAGCGTGTTGTGGGCTGTGCTGAGGCTAGCAACGCCTCAGCCACACTTCCCACCTTCCCTCCTACCTTCCTTCTGGCTGCTGAGCAGGTTTTTCCTCCCCTGCCAGCAGCAATGACTGTGAGAATACACATATCCCACTTGCATCTGCTCCGTGTTGGCAATGCGGCATTGCTCAGAGCGACAGCACATGCTCTGCAGCTGGCATCAGTGCGCAAAACTCTCCCAGTGAACAGCAGCAACATTTTAAAAGTTTTGGTCTTGGGCCAGAAGAAAGGACTTTTATCTCAGCCCCACTGCCTCTAGGGGATAAATCCCAGGTTCTCCCACCACTACCCCATTCTGCTGGGCAAAGGCACAGGTAAATAAAACGCCATCACGGCATGTCTAAGCAGCAAACGTGGGCCTCATCCATTCAGTAGGGAAGAGAAAAACGTGACCAGCTGAGAATATCCCACCTCTGGGATCTTCCCACTTAAACTGGGAGGGATGTGGGAACAGAGAACCCACCCCCAATGGCTTCTTAGTTTTATGAGTCCAAATACAGACCTTAAATGGAGAACCCGGTAAAGTCTACTGTTACGTGCCTCATCCATCAAGTCATCTCTGTCCTTGTTTGCAGATCATCAATCTTTTTGTAGCTGTTATAATGGATAACTTCGATTACCTGACACGGGACTGGTCCATTTTAGGACCACACCACCTGGATGAGTTTAAAAGGATCTGGGCAGAGTATGACCCTGAAGCCAAGTAAGTAACTCAGCCTTGGTATCAGAGCTCCTGGGGAGAACAGGCCTGTTATTTTATGTTCCACAGACCCAGTGCAGTAAGTGCCATGTTCCTCCTGCAAGAACACTTTTTTCCTGAAAAAAATCCTAAAATAGATACCTCCACAAGGTATTGCTGGTGAATCTATAAGCCAGCAGTGCAACTGATACACACAAAAAGCTCAGCATTTAGACTGCACTGTTACCTGGCAGGACATTGCTTCACTTTCAGTCAGGGGGAGATACAGACTGTTTAGGGAGGGGCAGCAGGAGACTGAGCAAAGGAGGTTAGAGGGTTGGTTGTTGCGTGTGTTCAGGATATTGAGCTGTGACTGTTCTATTTGACTTTCTACTCACAGTAGAGCTACAGTGCTCAAATCTCCGTTTTTGTCATATGTCATATAGGCCTATCACACCCTGTACCTTCACATGGCTGCGTTACGTTGTCTGCAGGGTTATTCACATCAGCAGACTTGCAGGGATTTAAAGTTACACAAGAACAAGTCACACAAGGGCTTAACTGACATTCAATATTGTATGCTCTGTTTGACACATGCTTAGGCTTAAAGTGCATTTAGATCCCTGTGGCATTACAGTACAGTTGACAATTGTAATTGCAAAGCCCCCTTCATAATGCAAAGACTGCGGAAAGAGATCTTGGCATAAACTAAAAGCAGATCTCTTTAGGAGACATACTGTCAAGATTAATTCGGGCTCAGGTTCTGCAATATGTGAGGCCATGTCACGTTATCAGAGAGATACATAAATTGAAACCCTTCTTGCCGTCCATGGTGACTGCCCAGAGAGACTTTTTATATGGCTAGGAGATAAGCACAGAATTCTAATAAATATAATGTTTGTTAACAAAACAGATGCTACTATTTGTGCTTGTTTGAAGGCAAGACTGCAGTGGCTGAAGCCATACAACAGGTAGCCACTCAGTCCAGATGACATCCTGTTCTTTCCCATCTATAAATGGGAAGGTCTCTTTTTCCTTTTCCCCATCCATGTCCCATGCTTGAAGCCCCACTTCTGGCTCTGGTAGCTCTCCTCCCTCCATGAGAGAATTCTTCTTTTGAGATGCCATTTACAGAACTTATAAGAAACCCAACTCCTGCTGTGGAGGAAATTCAGCACTTTGTTTTGCACTGGCTCCAGTGACAGCCCGAAACAAAAGCAAGTATCAAAAGACAGTGGGTTGGGCCTATTTATATGGGAGGTAAAGCACCAGGAAAAAAGAGACCCTTTGCACATCTGTGCCTGCTATAGGCCCGAGACCAACAGGTAAACAAGCAGCCGTAGATTTTGAGCAGGTCAGAGGTGGGGGGACAACCCCAAATTGTCCATTCGTGCACTGAGGAACTGCAGCATTCAAAACACTGAAGTCAATTCTTGCAAGTATTGACTCGTGTAAGACTGACAGCTGGGTTTTCTGTACTGGTAGGAGTTATATGAGGAATGAGGGCCTGAGGAATGCACTGAATGCAAGAAGCCTGAAATAATACCTTCAGCTGTGCCTAGGCTGCAGGGAGTGGCAGCACAGGGCTGGAAAGATCGCAGTGATACTTCTAGCTGCACCCGCACTCTGCAGGTGGATCAGCAGCTTGCCCCATGGTAAGGATGTGACCCTCACTGTGCTTTCTTCTTTAGGGGACGGATCAAACACTTGGACGTGGTGACACTGCTCCGGCGGATTCAGCCCCCACTGGGCTTCGGGAAGCTCTGCCCTCACCGGGTGGCTTGCAAAGTAAGGCACACTGTGGGTCAGGGAAGGCTGGGGGTCACAAGTAGCTAAATACCCTGTGACGGCATTTTCTAGCTGAGCCTGATATGCACAGCTGGGGTGCCTGCTGCTTCACTGCCCGTCAGACAGAGTGTTTGAACCACCCCTCCCCGTCCCCCTGCACCGCTCCCCAGCTCTTCTGGGCAGCAACAACCTCTCCGGGGGCTGGAGCGTCTCCAGCCGATGGGTCGTCCGCTAGTCAGAGGCATCAGCGCACCACCAGCCCTCTCTCTAGCTAGGAGAGAGCATCTGTGCTAACTACAGCTCTCAAATATCGAGCACTGAATCAACCACACTTATGTTTGCTGTATCAAACACACATCCCAAGTCAGATTAGGACAGACAGAAATAACAGTACAAGTAAAAATATCTCTGAAATTTTCTTCAGGCTAAGCAGTGCACCAAAAACCTAGTGTTACCTCTCATTGTTGCTTAAATAACCAACAGATACTAAACAGCAAAGTGAGCGTGGTATTAAAATACAGGAAGGGCAAGGACAGATTTTCTGTGAAAATGTCTCACTCATGTCTTTGGTTGTGAGACTCCTGCTATGAAAAGGGACTCTCTCTAGTGAATAATGACTTGTTTATAACCTTTATGCTTCCTTCACTTGAAGTTCTTTGTTCATCTCCTCGCAAGTCCCAGAGTTTGTATGTGACGCTTGTAGTTGTTTTTTACCTCAGTCTGCAAGCAAAATACAAAGCCTGGGGCCTGTACACAGAAATACCTGGCTTCTGTAGCCTCCTGCTGATCCCTTTCAGTCTGCTGTCTAGCAACTGTTTGTTGTCTCCATCTGGTTCAAACCCCCCAAGTCTATGACTGCAGTGGTAGTGATGGGGGATGACACCCTTTCCTCTAATTTGGTACTGAACCAGGCCTTTGCATGAAAGTGGCAGAAGACAAAGCTCGAACAAAATCAGCCCCTGAAAGCATAAGAGTTCAAACCAAGTCCCTGGTGTCTCTTTCCTCCTGAGACAGAAGTAGGGACCTAAGATCTGGTGACTCTGCTACGTCTGTCTCAGATGTATGTCATTGGTCTCACTGAAGTTCACCCTGCTGCTGCAACAGTCCTCAGCATGCACTCTGTGTCCTACATGGCTTTACAGAATTACTGCAGGGCAGAGACAGCCTTGTTTTAAAAGGGAGAGGGGGAATAGCTGGCTAAAGCAGACTAGCTTTCAGGTTCAGCTAATCCACTTTCTTCAAGCATGTCACCTAAATGAAAGATTCTGGCTCTCTCTTTATATACACTTGCACCAGGCACAGCTTTAGCGCAGGTGAGTTTGCAAGTGCCTCATGAGGTATGAAGAAATCAGTTTGCTCCTGATAAGGAAAAAAGGTGTCATTTAAAAGCCAAATGGTTTGGGGACTGGAACAAATCTCTGTCCATGTAATACACTGTGGGCAAATGCCCACTGGCCACTGGGGAAAATGAAGGTTAGAAAGTGATAGCCACATTGAAGAAAACAGAGTATCTAGCAATGGGAGAGAGACCCCAGGGCAAACTCACCACAGTTGGGACCATCAGTGGATATGACAAGTATTTTTATAATTGTGTCACTAAATCCACAGGCCATGGATGCTCTCATAAAGAGGGGAGGCAGGTCTGGAGGGCATCATGAGGGTATAAGGAAGAGCACGCTTCAGTCCATGTGTTGGCAGTGTGATTGTTCTCTAATCCTTACTCCACAGCGCCTTGTCTCCATGAATATGCCACTGAACAGTGATGGGACTGTCATGTTCAATGCCACTCTCTTTGCATTGGTCAGAACAGCACTGAGGATCAAGACAGAAGGTAAGAAGCTTGCTGACTGCAAGAGTACAAAGGTAGCGGAGTGGTGTTCACACCAAAGTGTGCTGAGCTGGAATAGAACAAGAAGGACATCTTGTGTAAAATCATCCCAGTTACTCATATGCAGCACATGGTACAAAAAGCAATGTAAAGGTGTTTGGAGGAATAATATCTTCTAGGGAGAGACCAGTGTTTCCAGTTACCTAGAAAGCTCGTGCTTCCCATGGTATCATCTCAGATTATTGATCACATTCTTTACAATGGTCTCAAAGGTAAAAGTTTTAGATCAATGTCTGCTCAAACAGCAATCGGGAAGGAAGAAGGGCAAATAAGCCTCCCCTCATGCAAACTGGCTGCAGAGCTGGGCCACTTTTTGACTGCTGTTGCCACTGATCTTCCAATCCAAGGGCGACAAGAAAGCTTGGACTTGAGGGTCTCACCTCACTGAAACTCCTCCTGTGCTTCCATTAGCATGAGTTAACATCACATCGTAGTGACAGTGGCGTTGTAGGCCTAAAGACAGATGAGAAGCAAAGGGACTGTTAATAGCTTTGCAGAGACCAGAGGGTATAGTTGGGGAAAGCAGGCAAGATTTTGGGCTCAGCTTGTTCCCTTTGTTGCTCCCTGCCCCCTGCTGTAACGAAAGATATTGGTCCTGAGTCAAAACCTGGCTTCAGGTATTAATGAGATGCTCTAAAAGAGCATGTCAGTCTGTGATTCACAGCTAAACACCTCTGCCTCAGGAGTGGCTGCATTACATTTCAGGCATGGGAAAGCAGAGACCGACAGAACCCTAGCTTACTGTGCCACGATTATACTGACAGCTGAGCCAAACAAAAAGTGGTAAGATTAAAAAATTACATTAAGGCCTTGAATGTTGTGCTAAACAGAATTTGACTGCAGCCAGAGAGGCTGTCCTGAGGCAAAAGCCATCCGCAACCCCTATAGGACATCTTGTGTCTTATGAAACAGAGACCCAAAAAGGACGCAATTTTCCTGTCCATCTTAGCCTCAAACTCTCGGAGACATTGCCAGTGAACTCCTGGGAAACCACCTAAAGCTTCAAACCGCTTGCTTTCTTGCCTTAGCAGGATCTTGTAAGTGGCTAGGGCAGGAGTACGGAATTAGCCCTCCTGAGTCAGCTTTCTGCCTTTGATGCTGTCCACCTGTTTCATCCTCAGCAAGTTACTTAGTGTCCCTATCTTCACTGCATCCTATTAAGAGAGCTACTGCCATGCAGAGCCCTGTTGCAGCACGCTGAGGAGCCTTAATGCTGGGGAGCAATAAGAAAAGCTGCAGGAACAGCACCTTTAGGGGACGACAAGATAGTGGTTTCACACACCTAGAGAGAGAAGACAGCTTCAATTATAAGGGGTCTGAATGTACATAAATCAAGAAATTAAATGGAAGGTGAGTCGTTTGGGAGGAAATGGGTATCCAGAAGGAAAGGATATAAACCGAATCTGCTTCACTCACTCTCAGAGGGGTAGTATGGCTTGATTAATGTCTCATTTAGCTCAGAGCCCCTTGGAGGAACATGTAAAGTCTAAATTCAGACAGTTACATAAAAGCCTTATTATAGCCTATGGTGTTCTTCAGAGAATAAACACGAATAACCTGGGACAGTCCTCTGAGTCAGATAGCAAAAGCCTTGCATGTGCCTGGAGCGCCTTGTCAGAGCACTGTGCAGACTGTCCGAGGTAGACTCTTGGCACCATGTGAAGAACTTGATATCTGCTGGGAGGCAGGGATTGCAACATGTAATTCTTGGGAAGTGCTGCAAGCAGGCCTGGGTCTTCAGATTTCTAGATGCATATTTACCACCAATTATTTGTGTTCCCCATGCTGTAGTTTCCCATTAACTGACCTGTATTCTCATCATGTTTAACCTAAACTGGATCTCAATTAAAATTTGAAGTATTAGATGAGATTGTTGCTTTTTGGGATGAAGTAGCATCATGGTTCTGTTGTTTCTGGCTGTTGCAGACTATCAATCAGTAACACAGTCACCTTCCTACCCTGAGATGACTATGCATATTTAGGAAGAATAAATTGCTCTTGCTGTGACAGGGATTTAGCAATGGTCAGAGCATCTCTTTGCCCAAAACTTTCCACTATTGAAAAAGCTCTGATATATTCCTCCTAAGATTGCCATGCCAGACATGAAATTGCTCCTCTGCAGGGTCTGCTTAATTCCTGTCTCTGATGATTTTCACCCTGCAGGTAACCTGGAGCAAGCCAATGAAGAGCTGAGAGCAATAATTAAGAAAATCTGGAAGCGCACCAGTATGAAGCTGCTGGACCAGGTGGTGCCCCCTGCAGGTGGTGAGTGCAGGATCTCATCCCAGTCTCTGAATCTCTCTTTTTTCCCCACCTGACATGTCCTACTGCACATGTGGAATATCAGGTGGAATATGGGGGACGAGCATGCTTCTACAAGCTGTTACCTGTATTTCATCAGGCTGAGATCTGTTTCTGCCTGTACTAACATGAATAACATGTTCTTACTGCTGAGAAATCAGGGAAGGAAGAAAAGATGTATAAATAGGAGTTAGAAAACTTTATTCCTAGATCTTGCCCCAATTTGATCATAGGCATTTGCTCCCCTGGATATTACCTAGTGCCTGCTGGGGGCAAAGGAAGCAGGCAGAGCTAAGTAGCTCCAGGGAGGGTGGTGTGGACTTTATCTGACTGCATAAGAGCTATGGCCTTACACTCAAGGTAAGGATGCAGCCCCATCTCATAACCCCTTCGTATTTAGCAAAAACTACCTCTACTGTGGCATATAACTCTTTTACTCACATAACTGCTTTCTACTGTGATACCTGTCAAAGACTCATCTACCCAGGGACATTCCTCAGCCAGTCTGAACTGGTGTAACAGATTGCTGTGGGTTTCTAAGCAGCGTTCCTGGTAGGCTGTAATTACCAGGCCTCTGGGCAACTCCTTTGCTAGGCTTCTTGGGACCCCAGGTGCATGGACATCCAGTGTGGCCTTCACTGACCTTCCAGGTGGCTTCAGGGGCTATAGCAGAAAACAGCACTTGGCAGTTAGTTAATAGTTGCAGACAGATCCTGAACTTTGCTCAGCCTGCTCTGAAGTCAGTGGACCATGTCTTACAAAATTTCCAGTGGGTTTGGAGAAGGGAGGAGGGTTACCTGGATAAAAACTTATTGCACATTTTGGCTCCTTGACCATTTGTATCGAGTGAGAATACAGCAATGACTGCATTTCTGGGGAGAGGTGATCATTTTGGTTCACTCACACCCATACTAGGCACAACCAGGCATAATTTCAATGCAGAGAAGGACAAGATCAGGTCTGGGATGGATGGTCAGTCAGATGCTGTCGGTGAGCCCAGACTCCGAGTATGTATTACCCCAGGCTGTCACAAGACAGAGCAGCATGTGTTGACCCGCACTGGGAGGCTGCTGTTATAGCAAGATCCTATGTGGTAAACCAGTACCAGAGACTGCAAAGGTTAGAAGCACTTCACCATAAACAACATACATCCAGAGGTGCATAGCTATAGGGGTTCTCTGCCAGCAGAACCAGTCTATCCAAATGCCACTTGCACCTCTCCTTGTAACTACTTACAGCAAGCTCTGGCTGTGGAGCAAACCCTTCCTTCAGCCCTGCATCCTGATGCCACAAAAAGCAGAGGTGTACTGTGGTGCCTAGTGTTTCTGTGGTGAATTGCAGGGCTCACATTAGCAGATACACTGTTTAAAAGCAGTTGCTTATTTAATTTAATTTTTTTTTAATACCCCTTTGCAGATGACGAGGTGACCGTCGGGAAGTTCTACGCCACTTTCCTGATTCAGGAGTATTTCCGCAAGTTCAAGAAACGTAAAGAACAGGGACTGGTGGGCAAGCCCTCCCAGCGCAACGCGCTCTCCTTGCAGGTGACAAGCGGGCAAAGGATGGACCGGGGTGGTACAGTAGAGGCATTTGACCCCACTTCCCTCTCAACTGTTCTGGGGGCTGCAATGGGCTATCCCCACTGGAAAGGAGCTTGTAGACCTCTTGAATTACCACATCAATCCTTTTGGATAAACATGTATGTACCACGGGCCACATCCCTTAGCTCTGGAGGTGGAAGGCACAAGCGAGGTATATCCACAGTTTATCAATCTGCTGGGAATACTTGAAATTTGGGTTCCTTTTAGAGAACTGGTCTGAAGTGTCCAGCAGACATTTGCTTATTACCACATTCATTCTACCCTTTCTGAGGGGAGTCACTATAACAGGGTCAGGGAGAACATGTTGCCAGGAGGCAAAATCAGTTAAAAAGCAAACAGCATACCCATATGCCAAGGCTATCCAACAGACGGAGCATCAGGCTCTAAGACCTGCGATCTGTTCACCTCTGGGCTACATGTTCACTGGGTGGACTACCAGGCTGTACGAAAGAATGAGAAAGCCCCATTGACTGTTCAAGCAGCACCATTTATGTCCCTTGAGTGTACAGTAAGGAAGAAGGGTGACTCTGGAGTTCCAGCAAGCTAAAAAGTGCTGTGATGCAGGCAGATACAGACTGAGGTCTCAGCATACTCATAGCTTGCCTCCCTGGATGGACTCCCTGGAGTGGATTCCAGTCAGTGAGGGGTTTGAGGGCTGTCCAGGTCCGGATGCCAGAAGTTTAGCTATTAAATCCACATTTAAGCTGCTGATTAAAAAGAAGAGATTTTCAGAGGCGCCGAGTACATGGTTCAGCTGGAACTGTGGCTGCTCTAGGGCTTCTGGTTGTGGATCTGAGAACCCAAAGTTGAAAGCATGCAGACTTGCTTAGTCAAGCCTGTGGATTTATGTCTATGTCCTGTTGTGATGAAGCCAGGGGAGTAGCAACAAACATTCCTGCATTGAATTGCTAAGAGTTTTTCCCTCTCTAAGCTGGAGATGAAAGAACAGAAATTGTTGGTGTTTTTCTAGGAGCTGGGGATGCTATATTAAGTAAAAGGGCTTCACAGTGCTTAGGAAAAAATAGCACTGCTTTTATTTCTCATATACCCACTCGGAGATATGAAGCTCTATAGTTTGCCGTTTTGCAGGCTGGTCTGCGCACACTTCACGACATTGGGCCAGAGATCCGACGAGCAATTTCTGGAGACCTGACAGCTGAAGAAGAGCTAGATAAGGCCATGAAAGAAGCTGTTTCTGCTGCCTCTGAAGATGATATCTTCCGGGTAGGTGCTGAACAAGTTTACAAGCTGAGGCTAGACCGGTAGCTGAGCTCAAAAAGTGCTACATTCTCTTTTATGCACTCTGTATTTCAGCCAGCCCTCCTTCTTGTTTTCTAGACCCTAGAGTGGTGGACTCAGGGTGCCAGGTCCTGAGATGTTGCACAGTTTTTATCCCATTTTCTTCTCAGTAAGAGATTTCCATAAAGTTCTTCTCAATAAAGTTTCCCTCATAAACCCTAAATCAAATCAGAATGAGAGTGGCCAAGGAGTCTGAAGGATAGGTCAGCTCAGCCATCCTACAGTCTGCAGAGCAGCAGCCAGGCACACTTCGGTGTTCTGTTCACTCCTCCTTTCAGTGGCACAAGTAGCGTCCTTCCAAAAAGTAGACCAGAACCAAATAGAGCTCCTATGGAAGGAGAAAATTTTCTGAGCAAGTTACCTAAATGTTCTGTTTATTTCGTTGCTATTTCTTGTAATTGTGTCCTCTGGTAATATTTCCTCTCCTTTGGCATTTTCCTCCTTTTCTTACAGAAAGATGCTGTCAGTCCCTTTCATTACTCATCATCTAAACAGTACATAACTGGCTCATTAAATCTTTCTTCATTTGTTTCTCCAGGTGATTAATAGTTTCTGGCGCTCTTCTCAAATTCCCTTTCATGTCTAAATGTTGCTTTGTAACTGCACTGTGAAAACCAGAGCGCAGTTACCTGGTTCTTGCATCCCTACCCAGTCCTGCACTCCCAGGACTGGTAGGAGGTGTAGAGACACCTTTGCCTCACCTATGCACCTGGCCAGTCTTCTGAAATATCTTAGAAGGCTAAAGCTTTCACAGCCTGCATGTACCTAGTCTCTCTGACAGAGAAGTCCATGCACTACCCTCTGGCAGAGAGAGCACCAGTGCCATCATGCACACTTTGGTCCTCACACTTCTTTTCCTCAACAACAGGCTAAGCAGGAAACACCAGGGCCCTTGCACATCTTCTCACTCACAAAGGGAAAATAATTTCTGTTTCTCCGACAGAGAGCCGGAGGCTTGTTCGGAAACCACGTCAGCTATTACCAAAGTGATGGCAGGAGCGCATTCCCCCAGACATTCACCACCCAGCGACCTTTGCACATCAATAAGTCTGGCAACAACCAGGGAGATAACGAGTCTCCATCTCATGAGAAGTTGGTGGACTCCACCTTCACTCCCAGCAGCTACTCATCTTCAGGCTCCAATGCCAACATCAACAATGCCAACAACACTGCCCTGTGCCGCTTCCCCAGCCCACCCAGCTACCCCAGCACTGTCAGCACAGTGGAAGGCCACGGGACCCCTTTGTCACCCACCATACGTGTGCAGGAGGCTCCTTGGAAACTACCTTCCAAAAGGTAAGCTTCACGGAGCGGAGAGTGGGTCAAGGGACCAAGGAGAGGAACACGCATGCAAACACCAGAGCACTGCTGCCTAACTGAACTTACCCACCAGACATTGCCCAGCCTGCAGCCTAGATTGAGCCTTCTGGTTCTCCACTTGTGCCAAAGCCCACAGTGCAACAGATATGCATCAGCTGACCACTGCAAAAAAGCAGCACTCTCACTGACCATCACACTGGATTTCTTGAAGAAACCTTTGTAAGAACCAAAAGGAGCCTTATTTATCCCTTCTTCACCACAGGGAGGTGTTTTATCTACTGCTAACTGAAAGACAGGGACTGCAATTCATCTCTTAAGCGCCCAGTAGGGAGCTTTGTGGAAGTCAGCGGTTTTTCATTCAGTGGGACACATCCCTACAGAGGTCACCAAGGCATTCTGGGAGGAGGGAGGCAAGGTTTTCAGAAATGCAAAACTGTGCAAAATACAGAAAATCCCCTTCTCTGGACAGCTTTCAGGCTGTCTACACACAGATGACTAACACAAAAGGAGTATCATTTTTATCAGTGAGGGATTTTTTTTAACTGTTTCAGTAACAGCAGGAAGGAGCTGGAAATTTTTTTTCCGTGCAGAGAGTGGGCAATGTGAAAAGGTGGAGAAATGCTGCCCCATTTAGAATAGGCCAGTAAGATGGATGAAATTCAGTGTGTGCAGAATTGCACAATGAAGAGTCCAGTGGTTTTTCTGTTTTGTGTCTTCCTGAGGGAGGCCACAGGAGTTGCACAACATGTGTTACCATCTGCCCTCCCTCTTGCTGACTTGTGCTGATGTGACACTGCTAACATGGTGTTCTTTTCTCTCCTTGCTTCCATGGGCACCTTCCTTGAATTAGGACGCATTACTACGAAACACTGGGACGGTACGTGCTCTCCCTCATGCTCTAATGCTCTCTGGGTGTCAGACCCATTGTTTGTCCTATTGAAAGTCCACATCCTCATTGATGCTGAATATGAGCTCTTCTCTTTGGTGTCAGTAGGGCTGAAAGAGAAGTAGTGTTCACCATGACATCTCCAGAAAATACACCCAACTCAGGGCTTTTCTGCCCGCAGGCAGGTAGTGATGCATGGACTGTTTCTAGTTGGTTTCTAGATTTGGGGGGTTTTTTAGAGTTTCTAGATGGGCTCACACATCTAGGCACTCTCTGATCACAGCACAGTGAAGTACACCCTGGCATGTTCATACAAAAATTCTGTATGGTTTTGGCTAAACACAGGCTGTTGAATAGGGGGAGCTGCCATGTACTGATTTCTCCCCTCTGCTACCTTAGCAGTTTTACTTGCCTCTCAT